AAATTTGCGATTTTCTCGTAAACTAAAAGTAATGAGTAAAAAATTAAAACAGATTTTTAATTCTAATCGTTTTTCTTATAAGATAAAGTTAGCAAAACTTGATGAAATAGCAAAAAAGTGGTTTTCTTAGTTTTTTATTTTCAAACTATCAAAAACATTGTGATTTTCTTGTAAACTAACAGTGATGTGTCAAAAACTCCAATAGATTCTTAGTTCTCGTTGTTTTCTCTATAAGATAAAAGTATTAAAAGTAAAAACAGTGATTTTACTCCCCCGACATAACAAATTTTGATTAAATCTGTTGAAAAGTGATGAAAATTAATGTAAACTTCCACAAAAACAAATTCTATGTTTACTTAGTTAAGAAAAAACCTGAATTAAAGTCACACGATGATCTAAACATTTTATTTTTTTGCTAAAACAAAAAAGACCAGTAAAATCATAATGTAATCTTAAGTCTTACATCTTAAGACTTAAGTCTTAAGTCTTTAGTGACTTAATATGCATATTCATAAGTTTTAGTTTGTTTAATGAACGGATTATACACTTTTTCTTCCCAAACATGACACGACTTAAATATAATGTAAACTGTTACTTTTATCGTGTTAGCTTTTGAGCTTTTTAAGCGCCCAATGTTTTTGGCGTTTTTGTATGTCTGAATAAAAGTCTAGACCGGTCTGTACGGTCCATGATGCCTCTTGACATTTTATTCGGAATTTATACTTCATCAATATCAATGAGGCTTTAATAATTTGTACTTGTACAAACACAAAGAAAAAAACGATTAATGTAAAGTCCTCAAAGTCATTAAGTTCACTTGAAAAACAATAAAATATTATGTAGGTACTTATTTTGTATTAAATACTCGAGTATCATGAGTGTAAATTCATTCAAGTGAAGAATAAAGAGATGAAATCCAACACTGAAGGGTTTAATGAATAATCTGTTTTAAAATTTCATTATTAAAGTCAAGTAGGTTTTTTTTATAATGGAATTTGATGGAGACATGTAGATATATGTATATTACTAGCTTTTGCCCGCGACTTCGTCCCGGTAGTGATTAATAAAAATATAATTTGTTTTCACTCTCTTGTTCTAGACATAGTATGTTTCAATTCTATCAATAAGATTCGCAATTTTATTGTAAAGAAATTAATTATATAAAGAATTGCTAATAATGCACTTCAGCGCGCCATCTCGGATTCAACTACTTAACTATAACTATGATTGAATCTCATTGCCAACTTTCATCCAATAAAAAAGGGCTGTCTTCAGGGTTTTCCCGGTAATTGTTCGAATTGTTCTCGGCGTAAAAACTATCCATAGACTTTAACAAACATTTTGAAAAAAAGAATTGGCCAAATTAGTCTAAGCGTTGTTCAGTTATGCGCTTACCAACAGATTTTATGATTTTGTATTGTTAAGTAGATATGTGTAATTTTGTGTTTTTTGCGATTTTTGTTTTGGCTTCAAATTAACTTTATCTCTAGGCCACCCACCTTTAATCCCAAAACGTATTAAATTTTAACAGTAAAACAAGTACGTTGTATACACTTAATTGTGTTTTACTATAAACGTACTTAAGTCATTTCGCCATTCCATCTCTGATACAATTCGAAAGTTTACGATCAAATCGTTTAAATGTCTAAAATAGTAAATTACCAAATAAAATCTCACAAATTTAGAGATTTTACTTGTATCAATAACATTAACACAAAAACTTGTTTGGCTGCAAATGAGGTAAAAATAGAAACGAAACATAGTAAAAAGTAAAAACAGCGCTAGATTAGAAATTTTTCAAGTCTGCTGTTTTGAGTCATATGCCAGTTGACGACTTCCATTTAATGTCTAATGTCCACTCATGTTGCGTCTAATTAAGTCTGTCGCATTCGTATCATTTGTGGTTTAGGTGTACTTAGTTATAAATGTATTAGACAATTAGACGGATCATTAAGTCGACAACTTTAACTTTTCCTTTGAGTTTTCAAAGTTAAAAGTTTCAATTGGACAAAATTTGAAATAAATTGACATTTAATTGTACTAGTAGTAAAGTAATATTAAATTTAAAAGTTTATTGATTATAGTTTATTATTTGTTAAATATAGACAGTGTTTTGAGTTGCTGTATAGGTACCGAACACAATAATGGATAAATCGAACAAAATTTGATATAAATTAATTTTTAGTTGTAGGTAAAAAATGTAATAATACTAAATTTAGAAGTTTAGTGATTAAATTTGAGAATTTGTTAATTTTAGAGAATGCTTTGAGTTGCTGTATAAGAATCGAACACAATGTCGGATAAATTGCACAAAATCTGAAATAAATTAAAATTTAATATTATGTGAACACTGTAGTAATATTAAGTTTTGCTGTTTATTGATTATAGTTTCGTATCTGTTAATTTTAGACAATGCTTTGAGTTGCGGTATAAGTATCGAACAAAATGTCGGATAAAAAATTGTTTTTGCTTTTATTTTTGCAGAAAAGTACGTAAAAATAAATCTTTAATTTGTAAAATGTTAGTTTTGTAAAAAATGACACTTTTTACACAAAACTGAAAAATTAAATCGAATTTTATTATTATTTTTGCCATATTTTGTCATTTTTGTTATTACACCTTTGATTTTTGGATCGCGTTGAAATATAATTCCTAAAAATAAATTCCAACCATACAATATCGTTATAATTTTATTATTCCGAGTGCCCCACGTCAATTTCAACACCCAACACAATTTCCAATTCGAATTTCGTGTCGCGTTATTTTTGCTTCCATATTATATGTAATTGCGTTTATTTCACTAAGTAAACACGTCGAAATAATAATAAAAAAATATATATGTGCATTCCAAACTACAGCAGCGTAGTGATCACAACAAAAACTCTGATACATATTCGTAGTTTGGTGTAATAATGGACGGTAATAATGGTTAATATCGAAATAACAGTAAAACACTGTCATTTTATGATAATCATCATTACTTGCGTTTTTATTTAAGACTAAAAAATGTGCTAGTTTATATTCATCTATTTTACAGTCACCGATACATTTTTTTGATAAATTACTTTTAAAACGATTGAAAATTTTGAAGAAAAAATTTAATTCATTGTTGAATTCATAGCTGTGTATGCTTTCTATAGATTAGATAAAAATATGACTAATATCATCAACCCTCGTGGTTTTAAACTTTGTGTTTGTGTCTGCAGGATGCAGACTGATAAGAAAAACAATATTTACTCTCTAGGGAAGGTTAGTAATATCATTTTTTTCTTTTTTCTTTTTATTAAATTATTTTAATTTAATTTTTAAATGAAAAAAAATATAATTTTTAGTTTAAATGATAATTTTAATTTTCTATTATAATTTAATTGTTTATAAATATTAATTTGGCAATAAGGATGTCGGTTGTAATATGCCGAAATGTGCCGGCATGCTCTAGTAGTTTATTACAACATTTGCAACATTAAGGGCGCATTAAGGTCGTAAACGACGCGATTGTAAAATAAAACGCGATGGGAATTTTTTTATTGCCCTTAATAATTTTATTGCGACACAAGCCGGCGACCCAACTCACCGCAGCCACGCTCCTAAATGATGTAATTTAAAAAAGGAAAAAATTAATTGACACAGAACTTCTTACAATACTGAGAACGAAACCATTTCTTTAAAGATCTTGCAAAATGTTGCGGAATATTCATATTTCTTGAAAGCGTATGATTCAGTTTTAATCCTATATCGACATATTGAATCATAATACATATACAAAGTGTTTTAATATTTTTTTCTAAGGAATTTGTTGACGTCATTAATTTAATACAAAAAATAAAAATAATGAATTTGTAAGTAGACCACGCCTAAACTTCATTCAACAGTTATGTACACAAACAAGAACATTAACAATAAGACAGGAATTTATTGCAAATACATATCTTGTTATAAATGTTATAAATAACGTAGAATAAATTTGAATAGTTTAATGTTGAATAAAATCAACCAATAAATTAATAATAATATTTGCTTGAAAGACTATACGCGTAATAATAAGAGTAACAGAGTAACAAGGTCAAATAACTTATTATTATTTAATTTATTCTTGTTTAATAATAATAAATTATATAAAACTATAAAGTTAAATTACTTTTGAACTACAAATATTTTTTAAATTAAATTTCAACCGGTTTGTTTATTGCAAAGGTATATGAACTATATATTATTTAAAAGAGGATTAATTTTATAATAAAATGCCATTTAAATCATATGTGTACCTCTTTTAGTTTTTCCGGAAATTTGATTCAAAGTTAGGTAAAAAAAAATATTCTATTGAAAAAAATTTTTAAATTAATTTTTATAGTTGATAATATTGTTTAAAATTATTGAATTTTATGGAATGTGTAGATAATTAAATTATCTATCGAATAATATTTAAAACAACTACATATCTGCTTTAGTTTTCTTGAAAATTAAAATTAAAATTAGATTTTCCATTAATAGTATTTGCAATTTGCATTGTTCTATAGCCATTCTACAAAATTACAAATTAATACCATTTCAAAGTATAGAAACTTCACCAAGTCACCACCAAACATAGCCAAGAAGTCAATCTATAAAATACCGTTTATTCCATATTAAAACACCTTTTAATTTCCATGTAATTTGTAATTAAACTTTACAAACATTTCAACAAACCTAAACAAATCAAAAATATAATTTTGCTCACAATAAAGACCAGTAATATACCTGTGCAAACTTAAATTTTGTAAAATATGAAAATCTACCTGCTTACATACAAACCAAAAACTAAAACTTAAAACTTGGTCGAAAACACGATTTCACTACTGCTGGACAGCTCTTGTATACATATGGCAACGCCGAGCGTTCCGTTTACCTCAAAACAAGCGACCGCGTCTTCGCGATCGCAGCGCCCAACGCTCACAAGCGGAGCGCGCCGTAAACTCACGCGCATCTGTCCACGGTTCGCGCGCACCGCATTCGATGTCGCGTCGTCGAGCAGCAAGCACGTCGCTGTGTGTTGTCTTTAACCGCCGATAACTTACGCAGAATATACGTTACACATTCTCGTTCAAGATATCTCATAACAAAAGGTGTTCCAGCTTGTGCGCGAAAATTAACTGCCTTTGCAGTTGCAGTTTCACATCAGTGTGCAAAGAACTAAACATTGAAAAACATTGAAAAGTGAAACAAAAATTGAACATTCTTCATACAACTAAACATGGATATAAACCGGTCGACGCTCAACATTACTTAGTTGATGGATTTATCTAGTGTGTTACAATTGTGTGTGAAAAATGTGCGAGTGCAAAGTTTTGGCGTAAACAACCGATAATTTTTTTCGTTTCGGATTATTCAGTGTGCGACTTTTGTGAATTTTGTGAGTTTTTTCGGTGCCCGAGCGCAAAACATGGAGTTTTCTCTGCTGTTCGTGCTAGCATTATGTGAGTACAGCCAAAGACTTAAAAATTAAATCTAACCGAACGTTTTTAATCGGATTTCGTACGTCGTACGGCTTTGCGAACTGGTTTTTATGCATTTAGCCGAGTTACGAACCCGAAATGTATCAATATGTTTGCATGCGCAGTGTTTTAAAACATTTTTGGCGTTATTTTCGACGCCCGAAAAAATTGTAACCGTAGTACATTCTGCCGGAGGGTTTAATTAATATTTTTGGCTCGCTGCCGACCTTTGTTATCGGCCCACCATGCTTCGGAAAATTTCATTTCGTGTTTTGGTACATTTTATTGCAAGGCGGCTTTAATTTCATTTTGCATCACGTGCCGAATAACAACCCTGTGTGATCTAGGAGTTTATTTATATGGTATTTTTGGATTCGCAATGCGTTTCTAGTTGATTGCGGTTGGGCGATGTGTTGGGGTGGTTATGAATTTCGAGGGCGCAAACCCTCGGAAAGTTCGGAAAAGTCGCACGCCGCAACGTTTGTCTAATTTAATTTGCGCCTCAATGCGACTTTTGAAGGGTAGCAGGGTGCTGTCACGAAGGATTTATGTGCGAATTGTTGTTGCGGAAAGGTCATTATGGCCGATTTCCCTGTTTGGGTAATTTTTAAGGGTTTAATTTGCGTATTAAAGCGGACGACAGTGCGCGGCGAAAAAGTTGACGGGGTTTTAATTTGGAGAATTACGTTTTTGAGTAGGTTAGAATTGGGTTACGGGGTTGAGTTTGATGTTTTTGGATACCTAATAAATCAGGGTATAAAGTGCCGTAAAGTGTTGTTGGGAATTATTTTTGGTTTTACTGTAAAATAAGTTTATATTTATATTTTATGAAATTTTGTTACCGAAGTTTTGTTTTGACTAAAATATTAATTAAAAATATTTCCGGTAGGAATATAATATTATTTTAGGCATGTTAGTATTGGGAAAAGTTTTACTACAGCATACTTTGATAATAATATTTTGGACGCTACTGAGTTTTCCGGAAAATTGATTTAAAGTTGATCTAAATATTTTGTTTTTTAAACTTTTATTTTCCCCTTAAATTCATAAAAAGCCGGATTAAATAAGTTATAGTTAGGGTAGAAAATTGTATTTGATGTTTTTCGAATATCTGAGAGACATAGTTTTTGGTATCACTGGAAAAAGTAGTTATTTATGTCCGGTTTTCCTGTTAAACGTGCTTAAATCAGCGAAATTATTTCCAACACCCTTTTAAATCAGTTTATTTTAACTTTAAATTGAAACTATTTAAAATGAGAGTTGTAATATTGTTTGAATTGTTTTACAAAGCTGAAAAGTTATACTATAAAATACCATAAACAAAATATTTTTAAATGCAACAGTTTTTCTGTAATTTGAGTTTAAACTGCCAAAATATTTCGATTTTTAACAAAATCGTATTTAATTTATATAAATTGATTTTACACCTGTTTTCGACAATTTTTATAAAGTGGACATTATTTAGTATAAAACTAGATTAAACTCAGTATGCCGTTTTCCGTTTCGAATTATCTTCTTTAGATTACTTGCAATTTAAGTTTGAAATGAAAGTTTTTTGAAGTTTTTATTGCCACGGAATGTTCTCCTTTGCTAAAATTAATTTTAACGGTTTTTGAACCGTTTGAGGCAACAACCCTCATGGATATTTTTACACTCTTGAGCGTCCGCACCGGAAACACGTGCATTTTCTTATTTCTTCCATGCTTCAGGTCGGCATATCGCCACGAATCGCCGCACATGGCTTCAAAACGTCGGCGAAAACGCCGCAGACGGATTAACGTCCCTCTCGGATTTTTTCCCTGTACACTCACGATTCCAGAGCTATAAATCTACACGAAAACCAGTTCCGCCATAAAATCGCCCAGACAGAGTTTTGGCATTTTTTGTTGCAATTGTTTTTCTAGAGAGTCAAAAATTTACACTTTAAATTTCGTTTCGCGGGGCGTTTAAAACTTTGTCGGTTTTTCCACCTGCCGCGTCGACCAAGGAGCTTAGAAACTTCAAACGCTTAAAAACGGCGCTACTACCACCTTGGTGGTAGCTAGTAGGGTGCTGAAAGAGCTGCAGTGGAAATAGGACAAGAAAAAAGTTTCAAGAAGACGACGAGAAGCAGGCAAACGAAGTGGCGAGTCAAAAGTTTAAAATTGCACTTTTTCCGCAGTTTGCGCACTTTTTCAAGGGGCTTAAAACATTCAAAGTTTTGCCGAGACATAGGACACGCGTACGCCGCTCGCGCAAAACGTTCGGGACATCCAGGACGTCGTTAAACGTTGATAAATGTCTGTTTTAGAAAAATTTTAAACACGTTTTAGTGGTTTGCACACAAAAAATTTAAATATACCTCTTTAGAGGTTGAAAATATATATTATACCATATATATTATGAAAAGTCTTTAGTTACACTACAAAATAGCGTTTAAAAAATATTGACACAATTATTAGATTTCTAGTAATTTAACATCAAAGTAAAAAAAATATTTTTTCAAAAAAAGAAAATCTGAACTTTTTAAAGAAAAAAATATTTAAATTTAAAGATAAATATTTATATTATACGTATTTAGAAAGTTTATAAGGTGTTCTACAACATGCACCTGACGAAATATTATTATCTTTATTGGTTTAGGAATAAACTGATGTCAAAAAGGATCATAAATAATTTCGCGCAAAAATGCCATTTTCTAGACACGTTATTTTGGCCGTATGCCATGTGCATGAAGTGAAAGGCATTAATTATGAACGGTATTTTTGCACCTGGTACACTCTGACTGTGTTTTTTCTATTTTGCTCGCTTGTGCTGTCAATAAACGGACATTTCACGCGCGCCGCACTTGGGGGGAGATTCGAATCGATAACAAACAATGCCCTAGCACAAATCTCACAATCTTTGAATTATAATAATGGTTTGCTAATACTTTTAACGTTTACCGTAAAAAAAAATATCGATTTTTGATAACGAGAAATGTCGTTACGGAGTAAATTCAAATGCGCGTTTAATGTTTTCATTTTTAATAAAACAGTATATTCCACTTGCCGCAACAAAGCTGCGCGCTTTTTTTTTGCCAAACGCGGTGCTCATTTCATAATATTCTGTGAATGAAATGAAAAATGCCGAACATAAAGAAGTTTCATTTCGCCGCGCGCGCACAAAATAAAAAATAACACAAATAACTGAATATAACTGAAAATAAAATAATTAAAAAAAGGTAAAAACAAGGAAATAGTGTGAAGACACACCGACCGACAGTAAGAAAAATTCGAGGGATGAAAATATGAAAAATAAACGCCTTAGCGTGCGCTTTTTCTTTGAATTTATGTTTTCGTGTTTTTGCTTTTTTTCTCTCGCGTATTCCTTCTCATTGCTTGCAGGCGCGTTCTTCATATTTGCATGAATTGCAGTTGTAGAGTTGCAGTTATGAATATCAAAGTGTTGCAATCCGCAATGCAGGAGGACGTCGCTTCGGCAGAGAAGAAAATTCAAAGATTAAAAATAGGATATTTGCAATTTGCGCGCCGGGCGACGAACAAACGAACACACTGGTGAGCCGGCAAAGAAGGAATCCGTAATGCGGCATAATGCAGCGAGGGGTTTAATGTGCAGCCGCCTCTGCTGCCGCCTTGAGTATGGCTGATGACAACGACGAAATTAGTTTTTCATAAATTTGCCTAGCAATAGTGGCTAATTTGGAAAAATTCACGAAAACGTCGGAATTGAAGCATTCATGGAGCACATGAATGTAAATTAAGGGTTGTTTGATGGGGGATGACATTTTTTACAAGTTGCTTTTTAGTTTGTACAAATGTCAAAGGTAGTTTTCTTAAAAAATTGAATTTTAGATTTTTTTTTGCATTTTTTTCTTAAAAAAATTAAAATAAATATAAATAATTGGAATAAATTAATAATTTATACTCGGTTTGAAAGGTTATTAGTTGCTCTATAAAATAGCGTTTATAAAATTTATTTATATAAAATAGTTTTCCAGAAAATCAAAAACTAAATTTTCATGTTTTTCTAAAACAATTTTTTTTTCAAAATTCATAAATAAATATTTAAAATTATTATAATCATACTACTCTTGGGCGTTTTGACAGTCCGTAAGTTGCTCTACTAAATACCGTTTAAAAAATCCCATTAACCCAGTTTGATTCCAAGATATTCACAGTTAAAACCGGCAAAAATTCTTATGACACGAATTTTTTTCGCCGCATAATTTTTCATTTTTCACGCGATTACACCGATTTTCCCGGCAAATAAAAGTTTCCCTTTATGCGCCGAGTCGGCGAATCGAACAATCGAATGTTAACCTAACTTTGCGCGCCTCCTGCGCCGATTTTATACCGTTTTATGGCATTAAGTCAGTTTCGAACGGCGGGATTATTTGTAATCGTAATCGTCGTCCCCGAAAATGCCGGAAAAGCCCGCATATCGGCATATCTCCCGTTCCACACCTACAGGATTTTACATTCCGGGCGAATCGAATCTCGCGAGATGTGAAAATCGAGCAATTCGTGCATTCGGAATTGATATGGGAATAAGGAATATGTTCGGGCGATTTTTAGACAAAAATAATAAAAAAGACTACGACTTATTTTATTGCTGCAGGAAAAGGAATAAGTTTTAAACACGTTTTGTTAGTTTTTTTTTCTATTTTGCTTTTAGTTTATATTGTGTGTAGTAAATTTGTGTGTGGGAAATGCGGGGATGAACATAATGTTCGCAGATAAGTTTACAACAAATCATCGGCATTTTCTGTGCGAAAAATATTCCCCTTTCGGCATCGGCGGCGGAAAACGTTAGGCGACAAAAAGTTATCGCGGAAACAAAACTCGGCTAGTTCTAGCTGCCGAAGAAAAGCGAAGGAAACTAGTAATGCTATGTGGAAACTAGGCGAACTGTCTATGAAAACGGATGATGTTTTATCGCTTAGAATTTCTAACGATTTATTTACGATTTACGATTTTGCTAGCGCTACTTTTTTCGGTCTA